CGCCTCTATTGGCACGCTTGTAAGCAGTTGCTTTTGCATTTACATGAAAGTGACACACAGGGTAGGAAAATCCCAACTCGGAGGCTATTGTGCTGCACAGATAAGCTTCTCACGTCGTATTCCCAGTGAACACCCCCTTGTATATTGTCACTGCATTGCTGTTACTACAGTAGGAAGCTGAAGGGATTGAATGCACACAACAAGGAAGACCAGGAGAAAAAGGAACCTGCCAAGGACTCCAGAATTACCCTAAAGTTATAAAATGGAACCTTTTATGGTGTGCCCAGATACAAATGGCATAATGACATACCTATTTATGCACATGAAGCCCATCACACCTCTACTTGTCAGACAAAAAGTGATAAAACTGGCCCACAGTATCATCCCTTAGTCAAATATCCACAGGGCTAACATGCAGTGGTTTGTGTAACCTGGCAAACTTAACCAAAAGCTAAACCAGGTTTGAAAACAGAAACACATAGATTCTTTCTGTCAATACTTCAAGCTAATTGCCTCCAACACCCGTGACAAGTGACACTCCTTAATGCCACATGGACACTCCAGCTGGAAGCAGCACTCAAATCAACAGCACTGAAGCAAAAAGCTAGTGCTGACAAGGCAAAAATCAAGAATATTTCTATGACACTGTGATCCGGAGAACTTGATAGAATCCGAGGACATTTATACCCAGAGGTCAGAGTACCAAGTTCATGGATTAACTGTAATATTAACTGTAAATATATTACGAACCAGAAGTAGCAGCGATGAGAGCTCTTAAATTGTCAAGCATAAGATGGAGTGACCCTTACAAAAAGGAGTGTTGAAGAGTAGGATGTTAAGTGAAGATATATTACCTACAATAAAATTAATTACCAACTTGGGAACACTGCTGAGAAGAGGCTAAATTCATCCCAACGACCACTTGCTCAGGACCACCATCAGAGCAGATAGCAGGGAACCTCATGTGCAGATCTGTACCAGGATGGGCTTGCTGAAAGAGCAAACCTCAGAGTAGTGAATAATGATGCTGAGTGACAGGAATGCTCTGGAGGAACAACAAAAAAATGTCAGTAACAAAAGGAAAGTTTGAGTCAACTGGAGCCACTTTTCCTGAAGCTCCCTCTCAGTTTGTATCATCTAAATACTAAGTTTTAGCTAAAGTGGAACTTAGCACTTTTTGACACATACTATTTATCTTGATGATCAAATACAGTATCCTGCTTCTATTAGTAAGAAAGGATTGATGGACTTCCATGAGTTCTTTCAATTAATTTTATTGAGTAGCCAAATTTGATAAATTAGCACAGATAAAATAAGCATTTGCATGTGTTACAAATGACTTTTTACAGGAATAAAACAGTGAAAATACAAACTGTAAAAAGGAGGACAAGTAAATCCTGTCTCAGATTCAGAAGGGGGAAATTTATAACTTCATACTGAAGATCAAATGTCCGAGTTCAGAAAACAAAGATTTAATATTACAATATTATACACTACTTTACAAAATTAAATTTACTATAAGGATTACATCCATAATAGTAAACAGAACCTTAAAATCACATTTAATGGTCCCTTATATAACAGCCATTCTGCATCTTTGATTAAATTCTGATAAGAAGTTAATTCTAAATAAAAGAAATGTGAATCATTCTAGTTATTGCAGAACAGTCTATATGGACTCAGACTCAAATATATTAAATTAAAAAAAGATAATGAAAGCAAAGTAAAATGGATGGTAACAATGTTGGCTGAATGTTAATGTGTCAAATACAGATATATTAAAAAAGTCTTCAACTAGAAAAATAGAGTACATTTGCAGTGGTAGAGTTGCTGTACTGAAACCAAAGTTTCAGACAAAAACTCTTGCCAGTTTTTGCAGTTCATTTTCAGTATCCTCATCCTTTCAATTGTTGGTTAAAAAAGAAAGAGGACTCATCATAGACAGTTTACATGTTCATCTACCTTGCGCTGCCCTTACAGCAACGCACGTTGAACACGCAGGCTTCTTCCACCACAAGTGAACAAATAACAAAGTTCAAAACAGGATTTTGTCCAAGGTGAAGGGTTCTATTCCAAGAGAGTTTCTCTGATTCTTGCTCTGCAAATCCTAGGGACCCTAACTCAAAGTCATTAATTGCCAGACAGACTGACAGCCATAAACTGGTGTACATAAAGCAATGAAGCCACCTCGAACTTCTTTTTTTAAAAAAAAAAACATTTTAAGGAATATAATGGTAAAATATAGTGACAGCTAGAAAGAGAAACTGAGTGGGCTGTTAGACACAAGAATGGTTTCTAGTGCCTAACTGATAACATGCCCCAAAGGTATAAGTGATAACCTATGCAAGTGCATAGTTTTCCTTTATGATTTAGCTGAAAAGTCCCTTCCCATTGGAAAAGGTCACACGGCCAAACTTAATCTCTGCACTTCAACTAGAAAACGTGCACTTCTGACAGCCACCCACGTGTACTCCGTTTGGGACGGAGACGGCAGCCACAGGGGCTCCGATTGGGTTGGGGTGGGGGGTCTTTTCATGCCTTTCTAGACCCTGCTCTGAACTTGAGCACCTTGTGCTCGAGAGCTGCTTCTCCAGACCCGCTTCTGCCCTGCACTAAGGCAACTCCTGACAACCAAGCACAGCTAGAGCCCGAGGTCACAGCAAATCATGACGCTACCAGGTCCTGCGCCCGAGACATTCACACCACAAAACAAGTCACCTAGCCTAGTTACAGTACCTACTTGCCCACTTATTTATAAATATTTGCCTGTTAAAGTTACTTATCTCAGAAAGATTTTGCAAGACCTATAATTAAGCTCATCACCATTAAGCTAAAAGCAAAACATGATTTTTCTGTATGAAGCTCTTCCACAGGCATACAGATACAATAACTTAAAGGACTCTTTATTTTGCTAGCCATCAATAACAGCTTTATCTCCAAAATGGAAGTTATCAATACACTCTCATAAAATACTCTAAATATTTTTGTACAAAAGAAAATTCACTTAAGCCAAATGTCCACTTCGGTCTGTAGCACTGGCAGGGATCTGAGAGTACATTTAAAGCTTTTGTTTGGTGCACACCAGCTCTGGACCTAGGATCATTACATAGTTAAAAGAAAGGATTTGGGAAACTTAAAGTGTGCCTCAAACTACAAGCAGCCCTCCAAACTCAACATGACATTTGTCGTTGGAAAATAAATTTCTTTTCCAATTTTGAGTGTCAAATATTCAATGTTGTTTCAAAACATTGAGTGCTGTCGGACAAACTCATTTCATAAGCACACCAAGTTTTAGGGACCTAGCATTCAGTTAATGTAAAGAAGGGCCCAAAGTCTACTGATTAAAAAAAAAAAAAAAAATCTGGGATGCCCTTCCTTGTCCTCCCACACCATTTACAAACTGAAATTAAAACTCCAACCATTTCACTGAGCAAAACTAGAGCTTGCTATCCATTTTCATTGACTTTTGCTGCTGTCTCAGCAACTCACTTTTCAAACATATCCCATAGAGGGGGCCTGCTCCTCCCCACTCCCATTTTTAACTGCAATACTGATGTGTTTAAAACTCGAACAGATTCAGCCATCTTATCTGGTTTAAGCTTACCTTTAGTCCTATTAGTGATAATCCATTCCAAACCATGGATTTTAAGTTTCATAAAGCATTTGTTCCTTTCACAATGAATAGTTGTTTCATTGCTACTTTAAGCACTTCAAGCAGAACATTAAGATGCTCTGATGCTAATCACTGGATGCACTGAATAAAGATTTTCCCTGCAAATCATAATCAGTATTGTGAGGTTTTTATATCTAGCAGCAAAAAAAAGAAAAGCAAAGTTACAGAAATATACATTTTGAACAACAAAACTCTTTATTTTACAAAATGTATTTTACCTTTGCAATATTGCCTTTGTAAATGTACTTCATGCTGCAACTACTTACAGTAAAAACATAATTTGCAGCAAATTAAAGGTGCTCAACCAGTTCCAATATTTTGTTTTTAAGGTACAATATTACATAGTTGCACATTTGATTTTCAGATGTGGTCCTTTATTTGCTTTAGTTCGTTGAAATCACAGTGAGAACTTCTCATCAACTGCCTCAGGCCACAGACTGAATGAAGATATTACAAGCACAAGTGTTCTTTACCGCGAAATCTTTTCTTAAGCAAGTGAGCCAAAGGCTAATGTTTCACTTATTCACTTGCTGCTGTATATGCAGGAGGAACTCATAGTATGATAAGGCTGATTCTGTTCTGTCTTCAATCATATTTTGCAGGAAACTTGATTTCAATGGACTGTCATCCCTTCAAAATGAAAACAATTTTTTAATGAAATAAATATTCACCAAAATTTATAGCAAAATGCAGTCAAAAAGTTACAGGTCAGTTGTAAGATGCTTCGAAAGCAGCTTAAGGGCAGAGAAAGAGGATCTTGGCTCTTGTGATTTACCCCAACTGATGCTCCTTTGTCAGCATTTACTTTACTTATCTGATGCTCACTATACACTGTTCTATTGGGGATTTTCACAGATCAAGACCAATGGGAGATACTGACAAGTCATATCTGTTGCTAAGTTCCAGGCAGAGCATGCACTATCGCTAAAACTTGTTTGAAGAAAGAGCTGTATTATATATAATATGCAAATATGCATTGTAAGAAGTCTCTGAAGCAGCACACAAGCAATTAAAAAGGAACAGGATGACACTTACTTTACTATATACAGTATAGGAAAGAAGGGTCTCTGCTCTCTCAGCCAAGCGATGAAAGTTGTTGTTCTGATGGATTCTGCAGTTTCAAGTTCTGGGAGATGTGTCTAAAGAGGCAAAAGATATCATTAATACATAAAAGATTCTTTTCCCCCCCAAGAGGAAAAATAGGACACTAAATATGAGCCAAATTCTATACTAATCAGGTATAAAGAAATCTCAGACAGATGAGCTGAAGGACTTTCCCATCAATCTATTGTGCTCCCTATCTCCAAGCATTCTCAGGTTTCTCCCACAGCTCTGAGAAATTTAATCATCATCATCAGCAGCCTCTTAGTGCATTTTCATAGTAAGATCTACATTAAAGTTTTGGCCTGGAGAGAGGTGAAATAATTGACTTTGTTTCCTGAAGCTGGATTTATAATGAACCATAACTGCAAAGTCAATATTTGATTAGTTCTAATAAAGATAATATTCAGTCACTGTGTGACTAGTATATAACAAAGCAAGCACCTACCATATTTTGTGGAACTGAGCCATAGTTTGGAACTCCAAGGACTTGGCTGATAAAGTTCTGCCCACAGTTCTTTCCAATCCACAGGAACATTACCTGAAAGATATCCAGCAATAACAACATTAAATCAATGCAAAACTGTAGCCTTCTATACATTCTGAGTTCTCAAAAAGAGCTTGTCACATAAGTATATATATTTTTGAAAATAAAACTTACAGAGCCAGCATCCATAAGATAAGCACCATCCCTACTCAACTTTTCCACAGACAGCTGCAGAATGGGTGGTTGTGGTATGGTTTTATCATTTATGTTAAGAGCTCCCTAAGAGGGGAAAAAAAGAAAAACCACACAGTTCACACCTTAATGAATTCAGTCAAAAACAGAAGGCTAGAACAGGAGTAGGATACAGTATATTGAATATGAAAACTGAATGACTATCCTTCAACTACGTTCAAGTTGTAATTCATTTACATACCCTACACTATTATATCCTTGAATTTTTTATTTAGAGAGGTGTACTGAGAGCATCAACTTTCTTTGTTGATCACTTCTATAGATAACAAATGTGATGGTCCAAGTTTTGGAAGTTGTGACTTGCAGAATTATTCAGGTTCTTCTACTAACATTGTTACATGAGCCACAAAACTACTTTTACACTTTAATATAAGGAAACTATAGAGGGATAAAAAGGTAAAATACCACTACTGAAATGTTGTCTTTAATTGCACATGATTCATCGTGCAAGTCAGTGACAGAGCAAGAGCAAAACAAGGTTTAAAAAAAAAAAAAAAAGTCCTCATCCACTATCACACCCTCAGTCCAGAATCCATCAGTCCAATCCCAAAGAACACAATGCCAAAGTGCACCAGGTGGAAAGATACAGCCCAGCACTTTTTAGCTGCATAGCTTTAATGTGGAGAACTTTCCTGAGGTTTTTAAACACAAATTTTCATGTCACACCTATTTGTGGAACTGAACACACACAGCCATGCAGTAACACAAAGACTCACCTCATCTGTGAGATTATCCACTCTGTACAGGTTGGGATGCATCATAAGCATGAGGTAAACAAGGGGCTGGTTCTTAACTTGACACATGGTAAAAATGCGTTCATCTAAACGTGCACTTGTCCCAGTTTGGAATGCTTTCTGCAAATAATTGAGTGTTTTGTCAGTTAAAAGAAAGTTTTGAATTGCATTCAAGAAACAATTTTAATTTAACACACCGCCTGTTGTTTATTTCCAATTTACTTATACATCAGAGTGCAGCCATAATTATTATTTCAAAATATAGCGCTTTACCACTGCTATTTCACTTCTCCATAGTTGTCCTTAATATGTTTCACATTGTATTATCATACAAGTCTCATTACTCCCATTTCTGGTTCTGCAGCCAGCCATGACCTGGGTAAACTACTAATCTTTTCTAGTTATCACTACAGTTGAGATGAAAGCTTTTATAACAAACCTCAAAACCAGTTCTTCATAAAATTTAAAGAACAGATGTTAGAACACTTTACCATTGGCTTCAGTGTGTAGAATCTTACAGGACTTGAAATAATCTGCAAGTCCAAATCCCAAACTTGCTGTGATTAAAATATCCTGAGCTGTAACTGAGATGCCCCAACTCTGCTTGGATCAAACACTTACAGGGTCATTTATCCTCTCGCTCTTATACAGGCTTCTAAACTAAATAATTCACCACAGCAATATTCTTTAATATGCTCACTATCCCAAGCTGATTTCTTTTGCAGGCAAGAGCAGAAGCCCTTTTCATTACTCTGACACATTTGCTTCATAAAATTCTCCAAGTCCCTTCCTTTTTCACCAAATGACAAGCCCATATAGTGACTGTGCATTTCTGTGTCAACAAAATACATACTATCCGCTCAGGCCTAATACAAATAGATAGGCTTTATTCAACGCTGGCCTTTCAGTTACCAAATTCAGGGGAAGCAGAAAAATTGAGCTGTTATCTCCCAAGAACTCTGCTTATGAAGACAGAACCAGTCTCAACTTTGTGAAAAATCTCAACATCCTAGTAGCAAAAACCAGGAATGTTGGTTTTTTTTTGTTGTTGTTGTTTGTTTTTATTAAACAGTCTAAATCAAGCAACTTATCTTTCCGCATTTTAGTAAGACTCAGAATTGAGATGATAGATGCTATTCCACACCTCCAAGAAATACTATTTTACTTCTTGCTGACATGTCCAACACAGACAGTCCTCCTGTGTGGCTTGCTTTCATCTCTCACCTGTTTTAAGAGTGCCAGCACATAGAGTGGAAAGAGCCGCAGCGAGCGGGGGGCCATGAGCCCGGGTTGCTGAACGCTCAGGACTGAAGCACGATAGGCAGACAAGGAGTCTATCACGGCGTTGACCAGGGCATCACGAGCATCACTCAAGCTGGCAGAAACAGATCGGTCCACAGCTAAAAGGAGAGTATGAAGCTTAAATAAGTGGCTTTTCTCTCTTTGGTCAGAATACAGGCACGTATGTATTTTTTTTTTTTTAATCATTTTAAGATGTATGCAAACACATGTTGATAAGATGCTGCAGTACAGAACACGTCAAGAGAGGTTGTTCAAAAAAAAGCTATAGGCCCAGTTTGCTATATTAGCCACCGAAAGTGTGGAGATGTACAAGATGAAGGTCATAAATCAAGCTGACAACATACAGTTAGGCTAATTTCTTGCCTTAAGTAAGGTAAGAATCGAAGAGCCCTGGAGTTCACAACCAAAGCTCTCTGTGATGACAGAATTGCTCCTTCTGCTTCCCAGAGACCAACTACTCAAAGCTTTGGGCATGCACGTGTAAAACCCTTCAACAACGAGCTCTTATCCTGCTTACCCATATTGGCCAACAGCCCAGTGATAGCCTGCACATCTGCCCCCGAGTAGACATCACTCAGCGTTGCTACGACGGGCAGGCACATGGTGTGGACACGGATTCTCCTTTCGCCTGCAAGAGAAGAAAATGGTCTTGTCAAACCCTACTTGCTTTTTATGAAGTGATACAGGGAACACTGCTGCATACTTCACTTCTGCAATGCCTAAGTATTGGAAGCACTTAAGGAACTTAATTAGCAAAGCAGTTAATCTGCGTTTGACTAAACAAGCAAAAAAAAAAATTGAAATTTAATCTGATTTCATCAAACAAGTGGTGAACCAGAATGCTGCCAGTAGCTGTTAATGATTTAGTTTTTGGTTTTTAGTTAAACCTACTCATTTGCAGACAAGAGTAAGGTTCCCAAGAAACATATGGGTTGGGAAGAAGCAATAACATCAACTACACGCAGTAAAACATCACAGATCTCATCTTGACATTACACAGAAAATATTACTGTAGTTATAACTGAACTGCAGTTTGTGAAGAGAACACTCATAGAAATTCCACACCATTATTTTAGCTAACACTGCTCACACATCTTACCTTTGCTGGATGTATACAGCAGGGCTGACTGAAAAGACACTACTTGCATGTCAGTAAGACTCTCTTCTACGGCCATTTGCACAGCATAACCTGCATCGGGGTTTACATTAGGCAAGGACAACAAGTCTGTAGATCGCACAAAGAAGTTCCCATGGAAGGTATGAATGGAAAGACCTACAGGATAAAAATATATATATTTTTATTATTATTCTAGTCAGATGGGAACTACAGACACCATTTACACTGCATTCACTGTGCAGTGCATCAGAATATTAAGATTCTTCTCAATGAAATAAAGCATCTTCAAGGAAAGATAAATATTCCAAAACCCAACTAATCTATAGGATCCACAAAGCCTAGCAAAGAACAGGAATTCAAAAGCCAAATCAATGCAGAGTAATAGAAGTCTCTAGACTATAAGGAAGTTCCCTATTAAAATAATAGTCCAATAAAATTTGCAGTTTTAACCACTGCTAAATACAGTACCTCTGCTGGTATCCAAGTGGTAAGTATAGTTTAAATAAAAATGGTTTGATTCCTCCTACTGATTTTTGCCTAATACGTATCTTTTAAACATTCAAGCATACGTAAAGCCAAAATACCACTGAAATGTTTCCAAATAACAAGAAAAAGGAAGTGTTCAAACCTTTGGTGCATCTTATCCTCATGACAGCCTCAAAACCAATCTTTCTGGTCAAATATCGTTTCAGCTCCTTCTGTAATTTCTCCACCTGGACAGGGTTGTGTTTATGATGATATGACTGGTAGTAATAGACACTGCCTGCAGAATACCTTGATATACAGCCTGAAACAGAAACAACATGCAGTGGCAGAGGGCAGACAGTTGCTGCTGTGGTCTTTAAATATGCCGGTTTTATCAGCCGAACCTAATATTCCCTCTAAACTCTTCACACCTGCAAATACCTCTGTTACATAGTTATAGGCCTGTCTACAAAAAGATGTTTCACACCCGATAAGCTACAAAAATATTGTACATAGAGCTGTATTACATCTATTTTTTTCTGTTAGTCTGAAGAAAGTATAGGTGTTGTGCCAATGCCATTCAAAAGGTTACTTAAATGGAGAGAGAAACAATTAAAATACTATTGAAGATTACTGTAAAGATAACCACACTGATGGTTAAAAGGCAGAAGAGTATTTCCAGAAGCTTATACCATGGTCACAAGGATTTCCTGACTCACAGAATAAGGAAAAATGTGAAAATAGTTATGCTAAATCAGGAAATACTTAAAGATTACATTCTGTTCACAGTGTTTCTGCTCACCAAGGATGATTTCACAACTTGGCATACTACATTTATTCAAATCAGGTTCCTGTGTTCTGTGCATTTGTCAAATATGTAAAAGCTATGAACTACAAGAGCTTTACAGGACTTACCTAAAGAAGCCAAGTCAGAATACTGCCCACTAAGAAGAAATAAATCCACTGCAACCTGCTGCCCTGAGCAGTCCAAGGCTAATTTCTTGTAAAAATCAGTCGATGGTGTCAGATGTATGTCCTGTTAATATAATGGAGAGGCAGTTCAAAACAGATTGAAACATTTACTGCCCATCTTCAAGGACATTAATAAGTGATTCAGCCTCACAATTTCAGTGATAACATCTTCCAAAAAATCATTATTCTGAGCTTATAGTGTTTGTTTTTCTTCAATTTTTCTGCTGTATAACAAAGGATCATTAGCTCAACAAGATAACCTCTAAATGTACTTAAAAGAGGCAATTCCTGAGCCACATACATACGTCTAGAACAGGGTACTCAGTTCTCTTAAAACTTTTTCCTTTCTAACCTTTGCAGTTGATCTTTGGTTTGGCTCTTCCCGCGATTTTAGTGCTCCCATTCCCAGAGATGGAAGCTGGGTCTGGAAGACAGAGATTCTACCACCAGTTGGAGACATTAGTTTAAAAGCAGCCTGTAATGCAGGCCCAAGAGCACTCTGCGTTTCCAGGGACTTGGTAAACATCTGTGGCAGGGTCTTCAGGAGATCTTGAATTAGCTACAATCAAAAACACAATGTTGAGTCAAATCAGAAGTCCCCCTCTTTACAGAGCTGATTGTTAAACATACAAATAGATGTATTAGTACTTCTAATAATAAAGCAGAAAATAAAAAGCCCTTGCTAAAGTCAATAACTACCAACCTGAAACAGAAGAGTGTTCTAAAGTCAAATAATATAAAAGACTACTTCCACTGCAAACTGGGTATTTAAACCACAAATATTAAAGACCATTAAGTCATCCTCAATTTATCTACTACATTATATGAATATCATATGTTATGAAGACAGTTCTTACCTCTCTGTTTTCATTTAAATTTACTAGCAAGTTTTCTGGCATTGGTATAAATACATCTGGAAAAACAAAAATATGTTTAAATTATCTTTTAAAAAATCATCACATCAGACGTTCCCCAATTTTATTTGGGGAAAGCCACCCCTATTGAAGAGGTACACAAGCAATGTAAAAATCTCTTCAAAACAGACTATATGAAGTGGTTGTCCCTTTCTTCCCCCTCATTCCAACCATGGCTGTGGTTACAAAACTATTTTGGAATATCAAAATGATAATAAAGTATATAAAAAAAAGAGATAGGGAAGATCTTCCCAAATTCATTCTACCTTGGCCCAATATTACAGAGTAAAAGGTGACCTGAAACCAGTGACAGAAGAACAAGCAATTTACTGAATGTCAGTACTTCAATTGAATTGACATTATAAAGAAGTCTAGATAATTGCACAAGTTAAAGTCAGGAAAGCTGACTTCACATTTCAAGTCACAAGTGTTACATCTATGAAAGTTTGGGTTTATTTATTTATTTTTTCAAAGCCTTCCTCAGCTCACAGTGGCTTTATGAAAGATGCCAGATGTAGGCTACACCTAAAGCCATTACCAGTAAGACTAGTGATGTGATCAACAAACTCCCAGTATATATTTTTAAATGGTGTCAAAATCAGCAGTTGTTAATAGATGCTAATCACAGAGGTTATTTCTGCATACCTTCAATATCTGACACTATAAGCATCTGCGGCTGCGAGAGACCTTCCTGAAGACTGTAGAAATGGATTGTGCTGTCAAATGTTATGAAGCCTATTTTTGTTCTAGTGTTCCCAGGAAGCCTAAAAATCAGACATATGGTGTTCAGCGAGATGAAATTTTATTTCTGCAGACTTTTTCTAAGCAAAAAAATCCACTGCACCTGTCCAAGTTTCTTAGCATGTAGCTAGTTTAACAGTTATATTTTTTGCAACGGCTTGACTAAGTAATTTTAGAGAGAGAAAAAAAAATAGAGCTCATATTAGAATTACCTAGCAGAAGTGAAAAAATCTTTCTCCAAAGGGTAAGAATATAATATTTAGAAAGAATAAATAATAATATTTAGAAAGAATAAAATGTCCCCAGACCAGCAACAGATGTTTGCAATTTTAAAGTTTTTTCCTTTGTAATAAGATCCTTATCCTACAACATGACTCTGTAGAGAAAATTTAGCCAGAAATATAGTATTGCAAGGCAGCTATATAAAGTTCTGAAGAAAGTAGACGCTCCAGTGAAAAATGTTTCATACTGCTTAGTACTGGACAGCTAAGACTTAACTACTAGTCCCATGCAGAAGTCCAGTGTAACACCTTCTTCAGAAAGGAGTGAGGGATGTGAGAATCCCACAGCAAGAATTTGCAATAACTTTTAAAAAAAAATCAAGTAGAAAGTTAGACATGGCTTTACTGGATATAGACCTGTCAAGAATAACACAACTCCAAAGTAAAAAAAATAAATCTACAACAGATCAAGCATTTATACTTTCAGTTACCTATGTAATTTTATACAAAATAAATGCCAAGTATTTACTGAAAGGAACACGTCTAAATTTCATCTTTTTAAAAAATCCAGGTCAAAAGACTTCATAAATATGATTTTTTTTTTCAGGTACTCGGAAGTCTGGCAGAAAAGATCCAGATTGGAATATTTGACTTAAAATTAACATTTCTTGGTGCAGCTGTGATGGGAAAAAGACTGCAACTGAAGGCCATGTTTCTAGGTAATACTAGTCATCGACAGTTTTCATTACGGAAATTTTTCTTCTAGAAAGCAGGCAGTGCCCCATTAATACCTAACATGAGCTTCCTATTCCTGAAGGATAAGGAAAGCAGAGGAGGTATTAGGAAAAAATACTTACAAGTCAAGATTGTCTAGCAAGGTCTTGCAAACTGTATTCAAGTATCCTGTCTCTATTGCATTATGCGAGACATCAAACACAAAGAGGTACACTGGTGGCTGAGGTGGACGTAGCTGAGAAAGGAAAAGATTAATATTATTTTCAAAGCAACATTTACTAGATTTGGTTTATTCTTTCCACAAGATTAAATTGTGTTAGTTAGAACTATATGCAAATCACAGATAGGTTAAAACTTCTTAACGTGTCTGTCTCTTATCAGATAATTCTAGAATTGTGACTTGCTTCCCAAAGACCTAATAAAATCTATATATTCCAAGTATGGAAAGACTTTGAAGTTATATCAGTTTAGAAATGAAAAAAATCTCATCTAAAATTCTTCCCAAGGCTTCTCAGATATACTCCTTGGGGCAGCAACTGTTCTAAGCATGCTGGAAAGCACCCTCAATAACACTTCCTTTTTTCCCCCCTGACTTGCCTCCAGAAATAGAACAAAATAAGAGTGATAAAGAGCAAGTAAAACCTTACCATGTATTCAGATGGAGCCATGAACTCAATAGTAGCATTCTGAACTTCAGGTCTTTTATGAGGTTCTCCATAAGCTCTTGTCACAGGATTATACATGAATTCCTCAGGAACTATGTAGATAAGTGTAAATAAGGATTACTACTTCACAGCAGCATTGGCTGTGCTACATTTTGAAGCAAATGCATCAGCTGTTTGTTGTCTGTTGAACAATATTTCTTACAGAACAGCATCAGGTAGGGCAGCTGCTTCGTACCTAGCAGACTTCAGACTCACTATGAGTGATTAGGGACCACTGCCTCCATGGGAACTATTTCATATATAACAGCCCCAGCATGACTGACCATCTCTAACATCATCACAGTATAAAAGGCCAAGGTCAAAAAGGTTCCCCTTAACACACCAATTTAAGTCATTAAGTACTTCTAAGCTTACCATCGTTCACTCTATAGCACAAATTGCATTTCCATCTCCTTTGGTCTAGGAAGCTGACAAAAGGGTTAATGTATGTCCGGCAGGAACGGCATCTCACTATAGTGCTTGAAGTGACCACTGGCAATTGCTGGAAAAGAAGTTTCCAGTTTAAAAATGTAAACTCAGGATAATTATTTAACTAGGATAACACTATTTACACTATGCTTCCTGGTCACCTAGTGACAGCATGCTTGTTTAGAAGGAAGCATTAATGCAGATTTATTTCTGCATCCACATGGCATCTTTACAACTAAAAGATCAGAGCTGAGCTCTGACCTATTTGGCCTCATATATTTCTTTTTCAAGCCAGTTAATTTTGTATTTAAGACAGATCCCTACTTCCAATTCTGCACAACAACAGACTAATCCTCCCCTGCCCCCAGCATACTTCAGCATTTGAAGTTTTCAATAGTTTGCCATACCGACAAGTCTTTGAAAGGATGAAGCAGGAGTCCCAAGGGAAGTTTGGCTTTATTCAGTAAGGTCTGAGTTTGAGGAATGTTAGTCAGGGTGCAGCGGAACAACCTGCAGGACAAAGGGTTATTTTCAGAGGCTTTCAGGTAATAAAACGGTGATTTCAGTAGTATCCAGCATCCTTTCTATTTTTCCAGCTGGTGACAGCAGATTTCCATTTCCAGATAAAATATCTTCTCCAAATCTGTCAGATCACCGATTCAGTCCAAACATTTCCCACATGACATATGTGAGTTATGCTACTTTATACCCAGGATGTTCATGCAAATTTGAGTGTCACTTTAGCCAGTTAAGTCAAAATTAAGCCTAAAAGCACTCAAAAATATATCAAATCTTTATACGCTAACTTTTGTCTTGGAAAACCATTTTGAGCTGGCCCTTTGTGCCAGTTTGAACCTCTGAAGTTCACAAAGTTGTTTTAAAGTTACCAGGAAATCAAAATTCTAAACAATTCTCCAGCCAGCTTGCTCTTGCAAGGCAGTTACAAATAGGTACAACACACAAAATATTTTTCCTTGTTTTTCCAGGTGTTCTATACAGACACAGAATTTTCTTGTATACTGGGAGAGATTTAGAAAAAACACTCAGCAGCTAAGAACCCTAACAGGATGATTATGAGATCCTTTTAGAACAGAAGACAGAGTTGCTTGAAACCACAGGTCTTAACCTAAACTGAAATTATCAGATAATTTAACAGTACCTAAAGGAATAACAGCAGCAGCTCAGCTACCCGCCTCAGTCTTGGCTCCAGAGAAGGGGTCATTACTGAGAGAACTTCTACTGACAGTTCTGTAAGTAGCCATAAGGCGCTTAACTGATAGAATTACCTAATTAACCCTCTAAAACGCTATTTTTAGTGGGTTTTTCTTTTGATAAAAAGCAGCAGCAAGTGGAGACAAATGCTTTCAAAAGATTTGCAGTAGAATACGGATGGTTAATTAATCTTATGGTACACAAGTAACTGTCACATTCTGACAATCGCTTAATGTCTTAAAATATTTCCTGGAAGATTTTTTCTCAAGAGTACATATGAAGCTTGCTGTCTCCCCTCTAAAGCAAGGAGGAAGCTAGCCCCACCAAATAAAACCAACAACAACAACAAAACCCACAGCTATAGCTTTTTAATATCACAAAAATATGCTTTCTGCTGAGTCTCCTCATTTCAAAATTTAAAATATTTACAGTACTAACCATCTTTATTTTAAGAGAGTGAAATCAGTATGCGAAGTTTCCTACTCCAAAGAGTACTTCAAAGTCTTCTACAAAATTAAGGAAGTGTTTTGTGAAGAATTATGTTTATGGCAAGGAATCTATACTTTTGGGTGTTCCCCCTGCCATGAATTATAACAAATGAATAGTCTTACTCAGGATTGCAATTCAGCTTCTGGATGTCTTCATGCAAGTTTGGGACAGGAGCCTGCAAGATGGTCGTAGGAAGAATATTTCTTTCTTGAAGAAGATTCACAGGTCTTAATCCTTCTTGCTGCAGACTCAGGGTGCCCATAGATGCAGTTAAGTGATTAGGGCCTAAAGGAGGCTAAATCAAATTTTCAGAAGTTAATACAGCTTTGGATGAAATCCACAGTTCATTTAAAAAAGCAAGCAGATATTTTCCCTTTTTTGGTATTAATTGTTATTGTATTATAATAGCATATTTATAAATACTTCTTGCTATATAAACTCGGACTTAGGCTTGCAATATAATGGAGGTAAACATTAGCATATATTTTCTCTAAGACCCTTCAAATACAAATACGCTTCTCAGTTTGCCTTGGAAGTTCAGGAAAAAAAAAAAAAGAAAAGAAACAAAAAACATTTCAGCTAACAACAACAGTAACCTGAGGAAAGAAAAATGTGTTCAAAGCAGCTGGAAGTTTTTAGAACAGAAATATTCTACAGAGAGAATATTTCAGAAAGAGCTGGTGAAAAGCCTTTCCAACCTGTTATCAAAGTAATAATGAAAGCATTAACTTCTGGTCCCATGTGTGGATCTTAAACAAATGAGGCACCAAGCAGCAAACCCTAGAAGCCTGATGCACAGGTTTCCACAGCTTTCTTTAGCCAAGGGCAGCAGCTTGCGTTCAGAGGCAGGTGTGAGGTATTGGAGTAGTAAGAGACAAAACCAGAAAGTCTTTACCTGGTGGAAAGGTTTTGATCCATCTGGATATTGCAGAGCAGGTGCTTGCAAACCTGGTGCTCCAGGTGGAGAAGTATTTTGGTAGCCTGGTGGCAAGTTTGGATACGAATATCCGACATTTCTACTCATGTTAACATTTGGGGTGGCAGCAGATGGATGTGTGGTTGCTAGAGGTAGAGAAGACATATTTCAAATAAATTCCTGAGGAACTGCAGCTTGATCAATGCTGCTGACATAGCGGGAGAAGCTTTTTATTATTAAAGCGTAAGCAATTAACAAGTGGTATCAATTTTGCAAAAATCTTGATAATGTTTCAAATTCTACATTCATTTTCCTTTCAAGACATAAAGCAAACAGACTATGTACATTTGTATGTAAATATTTAAACCTGTATCTTTCCCAAAACTGTTAAAAAAAGGTATGTAATGGTAAAAATTATTTAATTCTGAACCCTTACCCATGAGGCCACCACCTTCTATTGCATCATAGCTGTTTTGGACCATAGACCCATCACTGGCAGTGGATGCAGCATCACCTATAAAGGAGGGAGCCCCAGTTAAACTTTTCCCAAGTCAGAAAGAAGGCATAATAGGGCAAATAAGAAGCAATTTGACTTTCTAAGTGAATATGAGGTTATCACGGTTTAGATTTTCTTTAGTTTCAGCCCTGGGACAAAGCTGGGTTAAATATACATCTTAGTATAAATCTCATACATCGTCTCTCTACTAAAGTAACCTCCCTCTCCCCCCCACAAAGGACATTCATAATGCTCCCACATGTCCAATATTTCTGGTTAATTAAACTCTTAAGTTACTTTAAACTTCAGGATTTTTCATAGATTCCAAGTTAATATGCATTAAGGTGTCAGATACTTGTTCATCTATAGGTTAGCTGTGGTTTTCAAAGTACTTTCAAATTTAGGTACTGAATTCACAGAATAAATTTTTCACTGACAGCACATGGTAACATCAGGCTTTTCACCTGCACTCAGTGCTCTTTGCAGCTGAAGCAGAAGTTCCAGTACAGTCACAAATCAATCAAGATACAAGTTCCAGCTGAGATAACAAAAACCTTGGAATTGAGAAGGCAGTCCCAAAGTTCACCTTTTGTTAATCTTGCTGTGTCTTAATAGACAAGAACAAATACTTATCGCTAAGGAAAAAATATGTACTCTATTATATATTATCATTAAAACCTCCAAACATGGCTCAAATGAACTTATTGCCACACTCTACACTGAATGCAGCTGGTAGGAAGCAGCCAACCCACCTCGCAGACTAAACATTTCTTGTTCTCCAGGGGCCTGGAGATATTGCACTTGTTCTATCATGAAGAAAGGATTTTCTAGGCAGTTTCTATTGCCTTTCATATGTTCAAAACTAAGCTAAACTATTATTGCATTCACACCATGACTACACACAAGGAACTTGACCCTCTGCAGGCAATGAACCTTACTAACTACCTTCAGAAAATGCCCAGGCCCAAGATGCAAGTTTTAATGCAAAGAAAATTTCTCAATGCCATTTCAGAACAATGAGAAAGAAGAGACCACTGGAGACCTGGACGTGTTGTGCTCAGGTTCAGCAGAAACAGCAAAGATGTTCCTTACCTTCTCTACTTGCAGCTGAATTTAGCAGAGCCTGTGGCACAGAGCTATTAGGTGGTGCTGCTGCTGGCAGCGTTGATGGCCTGATCAAAGGAGGACCAGAAACCGGAGGGGGTCCGAGAGGCGGCCTTGGAGGGTGGACTGGAGGTAAGGGCTGAGTCACTGGCCGAGGGGCAGGTGCTGTGAAAAGATTCATTTTTTGGAATGAGTTTAACCAAACTGAAATGGTCAGTTCAAAACCTTTTTAAACAAGGGACACAGACTAAACTGTAAATATTTCTCATATTCCATGTGATAAACAGTCTGAGATACAGTGCAAAAGGTTTACAACTTCAGGGTGTTTCTGACGTATTCCCAGCACACTAGGTCCTATAGCTGTTATCCATGACCTCCTGCAGTTGTGTGGTGACCGTTGGGAAGAACTGAGAGGCACAAGGCAACCTGATTTCAAATACACAGTCTGGACTTCATAAAATGATAATACAGCTCACTATACTGTCCAGTGTGGGTCTGTAAGAGCCGAAACAGATTTCTCCTGACAGAATTCATCCTACATTTTCAAAACTTGACACAAAATAACAACACACAGATTCTGTAGCTACTTAAACTACACAGGAAAAAAAAAAAAGACTTCATATGTGAAAACCACTGGCAAAAAGTAGTTTGGATAAACCTATTAGCAAGTGTGAGGTGCTTATAAATTAAATAAAAAACATAGGAAGTTTATCACTTTAATTTGAAGTTATAACTTGTTACTTTTTGCAGAAAGCCCTGCAAATGAGGAAAAAAAAAAAAGTTACCGTTTCTCCTCTAGGACCTTCTCAATCTGAGACATTTAGAAACCCTATTGCTTTTCTCCACCTGGAATAATACCAAATCCCTGATGTACCTTTGCCCCTAGTGAAATTATCTGTTTGATCTCAATGTTGGATAGTGCAAAGCAAATTAGCAATTGCTATGTGCAAGCAACATCACTACAGAACTTGGAAGAGATCCTGTTTCTCTGAGAAGCTGTTCAGAGTTAGCCATGCAGGAAAACATTTCTAAATACAAAACAAGCTTGACCAGCAAAATAAACTATATTGATTTTATCGATGATCAAAAAAAAAAAAAAAAGAGAGAGAAAGAAAAGGAAAGAAATTGCTACAACTCACTGTTGCATGGATATAAGAACTTCCCTGTTTCAATCATTCCTATTCCCTATACCACTTAATGAAATTTGCTATGCTTATTTGAATAAGCTTATCATTCCTTATTTGAGTAAGCTGTTTGAAAAAGTTCCATTAATGAGTTTAAGACAGTTTGAAAATCATAACATTACCAGCTGAAAATATATCAAGAAATCAACATCAAGATAGATGTCCAATATCAGGTCCAAATCATTTCACGAGAAAAAAATACTTGCTTTAACATTTAAAATATTTCTGTATGCAACTATTATTACCATTCTCAGAAGGAAAGAGTCAGAAAAACCCTGTGACAGCAACTAACTGTTTGGTAAAGAGAAACTGGAGAACAAGTTTGTTATCACAATATTCACGGGCTACAGAAAAGCGCTGTTTGTTGTCAGAGCTTTTAGCCATTGCTTACACCAGCACAAAAGAGAACATAGACTATAGAGGTGATAATTCTGTGCATTTCACACTTTGAGAATACTTTCTAAAAGAATATACACACCCAGGTTCCCAAAAAACAAGTCACCATTAGGGAACTATCTGCTTCAGCCACCAACACCAACTCAAATGCCTGGGCTGCACACAAAATCTTCATTTCAAACCCAAAGAGGTCACCCCCAGTGTATGTGATGTGCATTTTTTTTTTTAGAATATCTGTTTTGACAATCCAGTTCCACACACAAATAGCTGCTGCAGAGTAAATCCTATATAATCTTTTTAAACCAGAAACAGAGAAGGGTCATTAGGAGTCAGTTTAAGAAGAAAACATTACTGAAGAGTCACGGTTACCTGGCTTCATATAGCTGTTCTGAAGCGGGGGGCCTCCCGGAGAGGCAGCAAATTGGTAACTCCCTGGAGGATTCGTGTTTCCCGGCAAGGAGGACGGTGGTTGGGTTGGTGCTGTCCCCGCCATGTGAGCCACATGGCTCGTTGGGGACCCGGCGGGATGACTGGCAGGAGCCTGGCCATAGGGCCAGCTGGAGAGCCCCGGGGGGCCAGCTCCGAAGCTGCCGGCCGAGGACCCAGCGGCCGAGTTTGGCGGGACAGGAGGCAGCACTTGTGGAGCAGAACCCACTTGTTGCACTGGTGACCCCGACGGAGGTGCCACTCGGCTGAGAATCTGTCCAGGTCCTTGGTAATTATTTAATTGAGAGGCAATCTGAGAGCTACCATAGTTAAACTGTCCAGAAGATTGATGTGGAGGAACCTTGGCTGGCATCTGATGCGAATACGATCCTGGAGCTGAAGGGCTGTACCCCTGGCCATCCGACGAATGCATCAGCTGGTTCGGAACAGGGCCTGGAAGATAAAAACCTTTAAAACGTCAGCGTTGTAAGAGACTTATTTTCAGAAGAGATGTTCCTGAGAATCCTTTCCCTAGGGTTTTATTGGCCTCTAAAGTCATGGGTGTTTTTCTTTTAAATAATCCAGGTGCAAGTGACTCAACATGAATTCCATAGTATTTTGCTATCACCACTTAGATCTTTGTTCACTTTCCTTCCTTTTTTTTTAAAAAAAAAAAAAAAACATTGCCTTGTATAACACTACAACTCATGAAGCATTTCAGTGTTTGAACATAATCCATGATCCTACACAAGAATTTCATTATTTCTATCCCCAGAAACATGGAAGTAAGTTAACCAGAGACCAGTGCCCTCCTACAGGCAGTAGTACAAAGTGGCAAACTGAAAGCAAAAGAATTTCTATGTAACAATTTGGTTTCACAGAGGATTGACAATAACTTAAACTTTAAGGGAAAGACACAAACAGCTAATATCCGTATAGGTCACCATGTTATTTCTCAAGTGACAAAATTAATCCATGAAACTTTCTGCTAGTTAATTTTAGTACGAGAACTATTCATAAATATGCTACTCATGTAAAGCCCGTTGGCCAGGAAAATGGAATGTAGGATAAAATATCAAGATAATTCACAAATTGGGAAGAATGATAGCAAGACAATATAAATTTTTCAACTGAAATCCTACCGAATGAGCAAATATACTAAATAACATATGACATTGATAATCACGATTGCTTAAAGATCATTAAAACACTTTCTGAAGTTCTATCATTTCTGTTTATTTTAGCCAGTTGCCACACGGTTTTGCCTTTTTTTTTTAATCTCTAAATGCAGCTTGAATGTTGCAGACATTTCACATATGGATTTAAGTGTAAGAAAGTAAAGATGATCCTCTTTTTGGTTTAGGCTTAAGATTCTGCTCTTTACAGCTTTGTACTACTTTCCCAGATTTCCAGAATTAGTTACATGTTTGGACTTTATTTTATTTTTTTGAATCTATATAAAAAAGCAGAACTTAGTTTTCGTACCAGAAGCCCTTGCAGGATTCCATACTATGTGAAATTTAAAAATAAAGATTACCATATATGCCTGTGTACGTATTTCAATTTCCAGTACTGAAAATTGCTGCCACCAGAAGTCACATTTCATTTAACATTTAAATAAAAGTGGCTGTTTTTCCAAGCTACCGAAACATTCTAGTTCATTTTCAAAAGGTGAGAAAGGTAACATTGCCAAGTTAGTACAACTCTTGTTTTACTATCATAAATGCCCGAGTTTAGTTAACTACAAAACACATAAAAATCTAGTTAAGATGCACAGGGCTGCTGTCATTCAACCCATCGTTTCCTGGGTAGATTTGTTCCCATTTGCAGCCAGCTGCTGCCCCACAGAATATCCTATGTATCGACGCCAAGTGCCAAGCCAAGGTACTACTAGTGATCTTTGTTATTTGCCTCTTATTTGTGCACAAAAAGTAAATATCAAACTGTTCTCTACATATTAATCACAATTAGCAATCCACATTTCAGTTATGATACCCAGTTATACTCCCTGTCCTTACAATGCTGGTCATCAGTCTTAGTAATACATAGTTTCCTTAAATCCATAATGGCTAAACAGAAAGCTTGCAAAGACAAAAATTGTAACAACTCCTCAACTTGAAAAGCTATCCTGCGGCACACAGCAAGATTTTGCAATAGATTTTGTAAACAGATGGATAAATTTAACTTGCTAACTCTAATATAACTGAGACCTACGCGATGAGATGCATTCCAACTGCATTGCCATATATATTGGCACACTAACACTAAAATAAATTGTATACAAGATATTTAAAAATACTAATTATTTTCATAACTTTATTATTCACCTTAGGGCACAACACTCCAGCCACAGCAGAAATGGGAGTATTTTGACTGCTCTTTTAAACACCAATTTCCCTGAAGATTGAGGGTAAGGCAATGAAAGGGAGGTAAAGCCTGAAAATGAATGATCCAGTACCTTCTATGGCATAAACTCAAATCTAACTCAACACAGCATAATATTCCAAATCTCAGCTCTCCTTTTGCTTTCTGAAGTCCAAAGCACTACAAAAAGCTGCAGTAGCTCCTGCTCAGTTGCTGTTTTCCAGACATGCCTGCATGGATCTGCCAACAAAACCAAAGCAGCAGCACCGAGGGGTGCAGCCCCCTCCAGCCTCCTTGGCAGTTCCACAAAGACTTCTCAGGACCTGCTGCGTCACTGGTGGCAGCTGCTAGTCCTGACCCAACCTCTTGGCTGAGGCCTGATGGAATCATATAGGCTCTCCAGCTTCCTCCATACGCTGCTTGTTTCCTGCTCTGCAAAGCCCAGGAACCAACAAGGAACCTGCGAAGGCTGAAGATCATCTGACTGCAAAGCAGCTAAGGCTCAGCATGCCACAGAGCTGAGTTAGCAACGCCAGAAGCAGAAACAGAAGAAACACAAGAAAAATCTGTTGCACAATGAAGGAAATTTATAACATTTATATAGGAACATAAGGTCTTTCAACGTGTCTAAGAGATCAGGAATTGTATCAGAATATATAAGTGTTGCTCGCTGACTTTATAGAGGGTCAAAACATGAGCATGCAAAGCTGGATTCAAGATCTATTCCCTGATACACAGAATTTCAGTACGATCCTCTCCAAGGCAAATATTTTGCGTGCTGCATTCACCAGCTGCAACCTCCTTAACCTTCAGGGAGATACAAGAAGAAATAACTTAAAAAGCTGAATTCTAACTGAACTACCAGTTCAGCCAAGCTTGAGCCCTCATTTTCCAAGCACGTGAAGAACCGACCAAAGGCAAACATTCCTAGAGCATCTCCTGACCTCGGAGTGGGGTTCCAAGACATCACATGAGCCCACCAAAACAATTCTATAAGATGCATTTACACGTAAAGAACGCTCATCAACTTAATGCTGCTGCTTCATGTTTGCACCTCAAATCTATCAATTGAAAAGCAAATTAGCATCAATATTCTCTATTCATTTAAATGCAGACTACTAATGAAAGAAAAAAAAAAGAAGCAGAGGAGGGTTGTTGCCCATCAACTCAATGCTCAGAACTGAAAATGTACAGGTCAACATACAGTGCTGCTATAATGATTTACTGCCTTTGCTGGACACATGAGCTCAGGAAGCTACCTGCAAAAATAAACTGAACAAATTTTAAGAAAAAGAGGTGACAGAAGTTATATTCTGTGGACAGCTTTCTTAGCAGATGCACCACTGTACTGTAACAATACTCTGAAAGTGTGTTCCTGACTGTTTTTAGCACATATTATTTTTACTATAAAAGTCAAGGGTCACGTCACCTTCTCGACATGTTTCAAACAATACTAAGAACAGTCCTCACTTGAATAATCTAATTTATTCACAGGCCAGTAACCCAAACCAGAACTCTAACACAGCGTAACAACTGCTTTAACTTTATTACCTGTTGTTTGCATAACTCTAAGTTTCAGTTCTTTATTTTATACACCTGACAGATTCAACAGATTTCCAGTATGTGATTATTCCAGGCTGTATCAAAAACAGCAAATATAAAACGATGCCACTATGCAAACCAGCCCGCTTTGATACTTCATTAGCTGATATTTGCTCTTTATTTTGTGCCTCTCTTGAACCATAAACTTATCAGAATAGAGGCTCTCAGGCGCTATTTTATACACTTCCCAGCTTATCAGAATAGAGGCTCTCTTCTCAGGCGCTATTTTATACACTTCCCACATGGCTGCAACTGTGCAGTTATTTGTAAAATGTCATTTTGTAGATGACTTTGAGGAATAGCAATAAGCTGCCTCCAAAGGAGAAGGGCAAAGACAAGCTAAACTATTTAATTACTCATGTCTAAAGCAGAGAGTTCAAAAGATCTCTTTATAACTAAACTGTTTATGATGCAGACTAACCACTGAAACAGAGAAGCAATTAAGGAACGAAGTACTGAGGATACTCTATGTATACATGAAATCAGGAAATATTCCCCACAGCATCAATTTTCAAAACAAAGTGTGATAGGGAGGCAAAGCTCTTCTTGCATCATTTTCTTCCCAGCTCAAGAGGCCAAGCTAGCAAATGACCCAATTTTCAATACTTGCTTTTTTTTTTTAAACGCAAAATATATTTTGAAGGGAAGAGAGTCGAGGCTCTCCCAGATGACAGCACGCCTGACAAGAGCAAGTTGGTTTTGTGTGATCAACAAGATTTTAAAAGAAAAAAAAATAATAATAATAAAAAAGGAAAGTCTCCAGGAGCTCCGCGAGCTCCTCCCGGCGCGGCCGATCACCCGGGTGCCACATGTACAGGCAGGTTCCAAAGGGCCCGGCCCGGGCGACCGCCGCCGCCGCAGCAGGGTCAAGGGACAGCGTCCGGATCGGTCAGTCTGAGGCAACTCAGTGAACGATTTCTACCCAATTAGCACAACCCTCAGCTTTTTCTGAAAGCTGTTTTTGTCAGCTGAGAGTTATTTTAAAAATACCTTCTCAAGTGCTTTGGCATTAAGAGGTCAACAGCAAAAAAAAATACCAGGGAAAGGGTTACTTTACCTAACGAATAGCTGTATATATTTTTCCCATAACAAGGCTTAACAGGGTAGCAAGCTTCCTATTTGGGGCAGGTCCCAAAAAGTCTCATTTTGGGAGCACGTAGGCACTGCCCCCACAGGGAGCCACGTCCTCGGGGACATGTATACGTGTATAAAGATATATATACGTGTGTGCATATATACGTATATACATACGGTAACAAGGTTTCTGATTCCCAGGGCTCAACATATGCGTTTTTCTTTAATTTAAGGTCCATTCTCCCCTCAGACAGCGGTGAGGGCCCCAAAGCCCCGCGACCCACTCGAAGCTCCTCCATACCGCTGACTCCCCTGCCCTTCTAACTGAAGAACTCATTAAAAAGCTAATTAACGCCCGAGAGAGAGAGAAAACACCCATCACGGTACCTACCGCCCACGAAAAAAAAAGAAAAAATATATAGAGAGAGAGCCAATAAAAAAAAATAAACTTAAAGAGCGCTTCCCGGCGCCATGAGGGGCCTCGCAGGCGGCCGGGCAGGGGGAAGCACCCAGGGGAGCCCCAGGGCCCTTTATCGCCCCCGATCCCCTAAGTCCCCTCAGCCTCCACCCAGCGCGGGAGCCACCTCAGCGGCCCCCCCGCCCCGGTGCCCCCTGAGCGCCGCCCCCCGGCGCGGCCCTCACCGTTGCTGTAGGGCTGCTGCCCGGCGCCGTTCTGGCCGCGGAAGGCGGCGGGCGTTTATTTATTTGTTTATTTATTTAGCGAAAGAGAGAGAGGAAAAAAAATCGTTTCAGGGCAGCGCCGCGTCAGCGCGCGGGGATTGACGTTGCCGCCGCGCGCACCGAGCCGGCTGCGGCTTTGGGGCTAATTCCAGCGGAAACGGCGCTTTGCCGGGGCTGCCAGGCCCGCGCGGGGCGCAGGGAGGCGGGAAGACCCGGAAGGAACCGGGAAGACCCGGGAGG